TATTAGTTTTTGATTATCTAATTCAAATTGAATATTATGTATATATCCGTTTATTTAGTCATAAAAAACTAATACATTGTACATATAGAACACATAAATATGTCAAACAACATTACTACATACATACTGTACAATAAAAATAAAATAAAGTCAATCATTCACATTAGAGATTACTTCCCTCCAACAAATGTTTTTTCAGAGTGATTTTAAAACAATTGAGAGAGTGTGCACTTTTTATTGCAGTTGGCAATTCGTTGAATGCTCTTAAGCCTTTGAAAAATATCGAGTTTTGCATGAATCTTTTTTGGAACTGGGGAATGTGGAAATCTCTTCTAGATCTCGTTTCATAGTGGTGATATTCGAAATTATAGTTCACTTTATCTCTCAGGTAGTCCGGTATAGTGCCATTGCTTATTTTGTATACAAAAATGAGTGCCTGGTACAATAAAAAATCTTTAACTGGCAACCATTCTAGTCTGTTCAACATTGTCGTAATAGGAGTGTGTCTATTGCATGAAAGGATTATGCGCATTGATCGGTTCTGTAGTTTTTGAAATCTATATATTTGATTTTGGTTTAGTAAATACAAAATAGTTGAGCAGTAAGTGAAGTGGGGAAGTATAATAGTGTTGTATATAATCCTTTTGGTCCATTGATTGAGATATCTTGAACATCTATAGAGAAAGTTTACTTTAAAAGAAATTGTTTTTATTAGAAAATCTGCATGTTCTTTGAAAGTTAGTCGATAATCAACCATAATACCAAGGTATTTGATTTTTTCTACCTGCTCGATTATTTCTTCACCAATTTTTATCTCCATTTTCTCCTCAAGAAATTTATTATAATTTATTTGATTAGCAATGAGCATGAATTTAGTTTTTTTACCATTGATTTTCAAAAGATTTCCACAGCACCATTCTTGTATTTGATTTACTGAATTGTTGAGAGCTTGTACCAAAAGCGCTGGATCTGATGCAGAGAAATAAATTAAGGTGTCATCAGCAAACAAGTGGATTTTACAGTTTCCTGCTGCTTCGACGATATCATCAATGTATATTAAGAACAATAAAGGTCCAAGAACACTTCCCTGTGGAACCCCATGACTATTTCCTATCTCTTCAGAGAATGTATTATTAATCCTATTCTGACTGAAACTGAGAATTAAACACCACCCTGTATTTGTTTCAATTCAATACGAGTAAATAGTAAATCAAAAGTCAAGACATGGACATGTAAACCGTTTTGACCAATAATGAATAGTTTTGACACAAGAAATTCCCAAAAATGAAAAATCTCGATTTTCCACACCCTATATCTCGGAAATCATTCCCGCTAGACCCAAAGTGTGCTAGGTCGTTGAATTCAGCTCTTTAAGGAGAATATAAAAATGCAATGAAATACAGGGTGTTCCATTTGAAAAAATTGATGTTCGATTTTGTGAGCCTTTCTTGCGCCCCTCGTATAAAATAAAGTCATTCCTGAAGTTGGCACTCATGATGCGATATGATGTGGAATTATAATATTTTGAAAATTCCTATTGGTTCAGGAGATATTCAACTGTCCCACTGGTCCAGGGACACCCTGTATAGTAGGTACCTACTTTTAAATCATAATGTACCAACCGGATTCCTGCGTCTCTCGTTACATTTTTTGTGCATTGTACAACAGCACAATATAATGGCATGCGCGATTTAATGAATAGCCAAAAAACACGATTCGTAAAGAAAAGTGAGCTTGTGTTTCAATGTTTCACCTCCAGGGTCGGTCATCTGACTGTTCTTGCATGCAATCCATACTTTCTGCGATTCTAGAGTCAGGGACTTCCTGGATGATACAAAAATCGATGAGGAAAAAAATGACATCAATATTTTATAAAAATAACTTGTTTCCAGTGGTAGAAATTTCACGAGATCCTAAGGTTTTCGAAACATTCCCAAACCTCATTTTCAGATTGGTCACAGTAGGTTCTTTCGTCTGCTTCTCAGTGTCGTGTCAAATGCACTACACTATAAATCACCTGATATTTCGTGCAGCTACACCAACGAATTTCAAACGAACGAAGAAAATTGAATTGAAGAGGAAAAGTGCAATTTGGATTTTTAAACTCGGTATTTGATTTAACTGGTTCTCCAGTGTAGGTGTTTATGAATTATAAATATATTCAAACATGTATTTAGAGTCATTCATCGCGAATTTATTCATACTTGAACTTGAGGATGAACTACACTGGTGTGAAATGCACTTCTCAAAAGAATGCTCAAATGCGGTGTAAATTACACGAAGTGTAAGTGTACGAATGTGCTACACTTTTTATGCAAACGGAAGGGCCTAGTGAGTCATGTGATAAATCAAACTTGAAAACTCGCACTCTCGGGGTCTCGAGAGGAGAGAAAAACATCCTTGAAAGCCTAAATCACTGAACAAATGATCACAGTGGACTGACGCCAAGCCTCCACAATTTCATTTCTCATCAGAAAACACGAATCTCAACGTGCACTTCTGAATTTTTTTGCTATTTTCAAGGTTTTTCAAAATACTTACTGAATACCTACATTTCACCACAACTAAAGTGGGCATACTTATATCTAATGAAAAAAGTTGCACTGTTGAAGTACTTCTATTTCATAAATTTACCAAGAGATTTTTCTGATTACTTACCTACGATTTTATGCTTATAAAATAAAGCTGCAGAATAAATTGCTTTTCATTGTTTCAAATCTGTTATTTTATTAACACCAAAATAACATTTCATCTGTCTAGATTTATACAACACATTTTTAATACAGAAAGGTGGAAACATTTGATATTTGGTTCCTTGTGAAAAATTAATATTAACCAAGTTACTGACAATAACTAGAAACTCTTCAAAATCAGGAATAAATTCAAAATCAATTGTGCTATCTGATTTTAGTAGATCACATTCTAAAAGTAAACTGCCATATTTTTGTGAGACATTGTTAACAATAAACTCTACTACTTTGCCCACTAGGAAATCAGATTTCTTTGTGAACAATTCATGTTGCCAAATTGAAATCCTAGATCTTTGCAGCTGCAGTGTTTTCTGCAACTGCCAGGCCAGTCCGCCTTTCTTATAGCGTTTTTTCCTTCTCAGAACATGGTGATGATACAAAGAACCACTTTCTGTTCTAGTACTTTCACTCACTAAACTGTCTGACCCCATTTGACTAGTGCTAGAACTAGAAGTATCACAGTAAGAAGACTGGGATATGTGAATTGAAGATTCTTGAGGTGGGTGCTCAGGGGATTCACTTTCAATGACTTGAGTTGCTTGGGACTGAAACAAGTCTGGGGAACATTCTGGTGACTGCAAGACTTTCTGCTTCGCTTTGCACAATCTCTTGTACTTTCTGTGTATGGTCTTGAGCCTGTGCCGGCTACCACTTATCACAGGAGACGTTTCCTGGGAAGCTTCAAAACTATTATCAGTATAATTTGTTTCCACCAGGACAGGTGACATTTCTGCCAATGACATGGTACTGATTATAGGAGATTCCTGGACATTGTTGGATGAATAGTCTTTTTCTTCTTTCGCAGAAGTCTTCTGATTTTGAGGTATCAGCGGTTTTATCCAACTGTTGCTGGAGTCTGTCCTGTTCAGTTTTTTCAACTTTTTGGGAGTCTCATAATCTTGTTCGGATTCGGAACTTGTCCACGAAATATCACACACTGTTGACTCTGGGAGATTTCTTGAGGTATCAGGGTGAATTTTATCCAACCAAAATTTATTCATAATGTCCATATAAATCGTGCATCTACATAATAATATTACTTTTAAAAATTAGTATTATATATATAGGTTATAATTTATATTCTTCCGTTCTGACCTCTGGACTACTTTCCTTTGTCTGAAGTTTTGAACGAACTGACACATTTCAAATTTCATCTCGAACTTTGACAATCTGTGCTTTGACGGACCCAACAATGACGGCTAAATAGAACTATATATATTTCAACCTTTTTATTTGGTTACATAGGAATCAAAGGATAGAAATATCTTTTCACAATATTTTGGCATACGAATCGTGTTTTTTGCGCTATTCATTAATTCGAGCATGCCTTCGGCCCTTCGCATTGTGCTGTTGTACAATGCACAGAAAATGCAGCAAGAGACTAAAGAATATGATTTTTCAGGTAAATAGTAATCTCACATAGTTATCATTATGAAATGTTGTCATTCCTTATTAAAATTCCTTCTGCCTTCTGCCACTTCTGCAATACAAGCTAATACTGCTAATAGATTGAAAATGTCTACAACACACACGATCGTCTGCATGTCAGACCAGTCCTCCCGATTGATTGCATGAATCCAATCTTCTTGCATTATTCTAGAAATTTCAGGTATATTTCTATAAGCTCCTATTGCAGAAGGAATTCCGATGAGAAATCAGAGAAATTACCAAATTTCAAAAATGGAAACTATATGTGAGTGACTATAGTAGGTACTTACTTTTAAATCATAATGTACCATCCGGATTCCTTCATCTTCCGCTGCAGTTTTTGTGCATTTTACAACAGCAAAATGTGATGGCATGAGCGAATTGATGAATAGCGGAAGAATACGATTCATATGCCAAAATAATTGTGGAAAACTATTTCGATCACTTGTAAACAAATAAGAAAAGTGACATTGTGTTTCAATGTTTTGCCTCCAGCGTCGGTCATCTGACAGTTCTTGCACGCAACCCATTATTTTCTATTTTCATGTATCAGAATAAGAATAGTTCAACATGGTTCAACTCACAATTGTAACATACTCGTCTACAGAATCAGTAATTATCAACATAGAATGGCTATATTTGAACATTTTCAAAAGTAAACAATTCAAGTGCGACAAACTCGCGACAAACAATGGGCTGCTCGCACAGAAATCAAAGTTCTGTGGCTGCTGGTGGGACGGTGAGATGTGAGATGCTCCATGGATGCTCACGTGCAAGAAACGTAAATATATCACGTGACATTCGTGACACTGAGTATCTGACAGTTTGATTTGAGGTTAGGAATGTTAGGATTGTTTTGAGTTTGTTGTGTTATTAAAAGCTCATACTAAACTATTTTTCTTGATTCAACAAAAATATTCACTAATAATTGAAAAATTGTCACAATAGTACCTTAGTAATCAAGAATTTCATATCAAGAACGTTTTTTACTTTCCATTCAATTACGAAAAAGTGGCAAAACATTGGAGACCTAGTTTTGTGTGGTATTTGGAAACATTACTCCCAATCTGTTTCATTCACTCTTTAGACTTCCTTAATTGCAATATTTCGAACTTCACTTGATAAAAACAGATGTATGAAGTTTAGGATGAAGCATTAGAATGGTCCTGAATAAGTAGTGATATTGACCTAAAAATAGTGCATCCCAAGATTATAATTTACAGTTAAACATAAGTATGAACCTAATTTTACCAGATAACAGTAAACATTCTTGTTATGCATTGGACAACTTCTGTAAAATAGATATAGTTACCTAAAATAATGTGACCATTACATTACTATGTTGATAATTGCTGTTACTTGCTGTGCCAGTGTCACACTAGTTATGTCCCTGATACTATGCATCTGCTGGGGAAAGAAGACACCAAAGTAAGATTAATCAGTTTATTTTTTTGTTTGTTTGATTTCCATGTTGTGTTGGCTTGATGTGATGTTTTCGTAGAGATGAGTGGCAAGGGCTTGATGGCATGGTTACCCAAAAAAATCCTGATGAGAATGTTAATCACCTTCCTTCTGCTGCTTCCTGTGATGGCGATAGCACAAATGCTAGTGGTGATTCAAATGATAAAAGGTAGGTAGTTGAAGTCTTTCTTCTGAATAATGAAGAGGTCTACACTGGGGTCCACATATAACACAAAAAAATTCTAAATTCCCTATATGTTTGAAAAATCCGGAAAAATCTGTGTTTTGTACATGAAAAAACCTATGGGTTAGACATTTCTTGCTGTTTGTTGGCAGCAGTTACTGTCAAATTAAGTGTAATTTGTCAAGAGAGTCCAAGATGGTCCTGTTGCTCCTATTTTCAATGATTATCAATTCAGTAGTTTTTATAAATAATACTGAGAATAATACTGAGTAGTGATGTCCATTTTATTCACATTTGGCATATTTTTTGTCCCTTGGAGGAAATTCCTATAATATTCTAAGAACATCCTATGCACCTAGGGAGGATAGGGAGATGAGGTAGGTATTGGATTTTTTTGAACATTTGGAGGTTATAAGTTGTTGGCACCATTGTAGTGTAGCCTCCAGTGTAGCCAACCTCACAAAATGAAATGTCTAATCTTTGAAAATATGGTCAATTGTATTGGTAATATGCAACATCAACCTTCTATGGAAAAAGAAATATAGATATATTGAAAAAAATCAATATTTTTTCAATATATCTATATTTCTTTTCTTCAACATTTTTCCAAAAGAAGTGTCACTGACAAGCTATTAGATTTTTCTTTTAGGCTCCCTCATAGAAAAATTTGATATATGCAGTGACATTTTGGGGCTAATCATCTGATGTGTCCAACTACACATATACCTATATTGAAATAATGCTCATATTTTCATCTATAGAAACAAGGAGGAAATCCCAAATAATCAAGTAAAATGAAACGTTGTTTTGCCATAAACATTTTATTTCTAGAAAAAAATTTTTAGCTAAATATTTATCAGAAAGCTCTCATTATTTTATTTCTACTTCTTTTCAGTTTGTCAATCAATAAAAGCGGGATCTCGAGCGGGATTCTTTAGTTTTTCAAACTACTCTATTCATTTTGTACTTCTTTTTAGTTCGGTACTCTATACCTCTTCATTTTTTTCAAACTACTCTTTATTTTCTACTCACTCCTCTTTAGTTTGACTATCTATAAAAAGGTGTTTCATTAGTTTTCCAAATAATATTTATTACAATAGCTGATACCCGGCAAACATTGTTTTGCTATATACAATTATTTCTAGGAAATATTTTTTAGTTAAATATTCATCAACATACTTATATTATTTTGTTTTCTAATTCTTCTCCAACCCCGAAAACACCCAGATACAAATTTTGAATAGAATCCGAGATAGAATCGGATCATAATTACAAAACTCAGTTGCCATATTGGATCCTCCATCTATAATTTCCTAATTTTGATGAAGAATGATGACCGATCCCAAAATCCCCCAGATACAAATTTGGAATGGAATCGGATCATATTTACAAAACTCGTCCGCCATATTGAATCTGCCATCTTGGATTTCCAAATTTTGATGAAAGAATCATTATCTCCGACTCCCAAAACCCCCATGATACCAATTTTGCATAGAACCTGGTCATAATTGAAAAACTCGTCCGCCATATTGGATTCGCCATTTTGAATTTTACCATTTTGACACATGATTTATATCTCCGAACTCTAAAACCTCCAGATACCAATTCTGAATAGAATCTGACCATAATTACAAAACTCGTCCGCCATATTGGATCCGCCATTTTGAATTTCCAAATTTTGACGAACGATCCATAATCTCCGACCCCGAAAACCCTCAGATACCAATTTTTGAATACAATTGGATCATAATTACAAAACTCGTCCGCCATATTGGATCCGTCATTTTGAATTTCATAATTTCGATGAAGAAATCATAATCTCCGACCTTGAAAATCCCCAGATACAAATTTTGAATGGAATCTGACCATAATTACAAAACTCGTCCGCCATATTGGATCCGCCATCTTGAATTTCCAAAATTTGACGAAATAATCATAATCTCCGACCCCGAAAACCCCCAAATACCAATTTTGAATGAAATCGGATAACAATACTCGTTTGCCATATTGGATCCGCCATCTTGAATTTTCGATTTAAAAAATAGATAACGACCGATTCTCATACCTACCGAATACGCACTAAAAATTTCATACGAATCGGTCGAGCCGTTTCGAAGGAGTTCGACCACTAAACACCGTGACCGGGACGCGATTTTACTAAATATACTGTACGCTAGCACAAACCACGCCTACCGTAATATCTCATCTTCGAAGTACTTAGGCAAAACTCAGAGACTATTTATCCTTAACGAACTAACCTATCCCTGATTGCAATATTTTTGAGGAAGGAAAACCGAATGGAGTGTAGAAACACATTGATTAATAATATATTTCAAAAGTTGAGTTCTTCAACAAAATTGAATAAAATGAGACTGTTTATCCTAAACGCACTAACCTATTTGACTTCAAATATTTTATGAAAAAGGAAAACCAGAATGAAGTAAAAAAACATTGGTGAAAAAAAAAAGTTGCAAAAAAAAGTTCAAGTTCACAGCAATTCGAAACATGGACCTTCAGACTGAAAGTCGACAGTGCTAACCAGTAGATCATTTGGGTGTATGAATTTACTGCGTACAAGAGATTGACAACGAGAGAGCTTCAGTCGAATTCGTGTCAAAATCATGAAAAGTGTATTATTGCGTTGGAGCACAGTATATTTAGTGCGATGTGCTGACTAATGTTTGGAGATATGACGTATTATGGTGGGCGTGGTTTGTGCTTGCGTGCAGTATATTTAGTAAAATCGCGACAGGGACAGGAGAATTTCATACAGGGTGGTCCGTTTTTTAATACGGAAAATTTAACAGCGTGTAGTACTCGTTGAAATAATAAATAAACTCCCTATGAACATATACTTTTAAACGCTTCGTTTTCGAGAGTGTTCAAGTTTCTTTAAAACATCGATTATTTATTGATTTCTCAGAAATGCTATAACTGATTGTGATGAAATTCACATCTATTGGGAAATATCAATGAGCTAACTTTTAGACCTATTACAGTTCATGAATGAGTTACATATTTTCAGGGGCGTGCATTTCAAAATAATTTTTTTTTGCCCTCTCAGATTTATCATCTAATAGCTTCGTTTCAGAAGGAAAAATAAAAACCAAACCTATGCATGTCTCTAAACCCAATGAAAGAAACATTGTAATGCATTAAATCTAGTTAGCATTGGCCGTTTACCAAACCAATCATGTAACCATTGCAAATCAATCATTTACGTATTTGAAGAGTCACAACAGGCCATAGACCGCAGTGGATATCCTGCTATTTGTCTTCAAAACAGTGAACAGTGAGCAACTGAGCATAGCCTACTTCTTTAATTGATATCAAGTAGTATTATTTAACTAAAAAATGTTATAAGATCTTACAAGCGAGCTTTTTTCATTGAAACTTGAAAATTTGTGTAATTATTACCTTCGCCACCCCAGATTCAGCCGCCACTGAATAGTTTTTATGAATAATTTTTATTTAATATAATAAAGCTCAAAAAGTTCAATGTGAAAAATGTCGTTAATTTATCTACTGTTCCTAACTTTTGATTGAAAAAATATATTCAGAAGCGTATTTTTGACACCCAATATCTCAAAAACGTAGCGTTTAAAAGTATACAGTGTGTCCCACTTACCATGCTCACCATGGGTATCTTTTTAACGGTGAGAGATACGAGGTCGGTTGAATGACACCAAATGTGGAGTTTGTCAAGGCCAACTATAATGTGGAATAATATTTTGATAAAATCTATTCGTTTTTGTTTTATACGCAAAAAACAGATTTTGATGATTTTCATTTCTCCTCCGTAACTTCTTTATTTATGAAAATATTCAAATAAGAATTTCACATTCTCATGGCAGTGTTTCAAAGTGATTTCGAAAAAAATTTGAAATTTATACCAACTCTTCTAGAATTTGAGATATCAGCACCAACTTATGTTTTTCAAATGTAGGTCATAGCTCACTATGACTTAGTTACAAATAACTTTTTTTCCTCTCACAGATGATATGTCGCAGTAATAGTTTTGTGTTGATAAAAACGGAGTTAACGTCATTTATACAAAAACAAAAAATCATTTGGAAGCTGCCATCTTGAATTTATAAATTTTAACAAGAAAATCATGATCTCCGACCTCAAAAACCCCCACTTACCAATTTTGAATGGAATCGGACCAAATCTTGTCCGCCATCAATTAAAAAAAACTGCTGCTACAAGATGGCGGACAAGATTTGGTCCGATTCCGTTCAAAATTGGTAAGTGGCGGTTCTTGAGGTCACAGATCATGATTTTTTTGTTAAAATTTATAAATTCAAGTGGTGGCTCCCAAATAATCTTTTATTTTGTATAAATGACGATAACTCCGTTGTTATCAACACAAAACTATTACTGCGACATATCATCTGTGAGAGGAAAAAAAGTTATTTGTAACTATGTCATAGTGAGCTATGACCTACATTTGAAAAACATAAGTTGGTGCTGATATCTCAAATTCTAGAAGAGTTGGTATAAATTTCAATTTTTTTTCGAAATCACTTTGAAAAACTGCCATGAGAATGTGAAATTCCCATTTGAATATTTCCATAAATAAAGAAGTTACGGAGGAGAAATGAAAATCATCAAAATCTGTTTTTTGCGTACAAAACAAAAACGAATAGATTTTATCAAAATATTTTTCCACATATAGTTGGCCTTGACAAACTCCACATTTGGTGTCATTTAACCGACCTCGTATCTCTCACCGTTAAAAAGATACCCATGATGAGCATGGTAAGTGGGACACACTGTATGTTCATAGGAAGTTTTTTATTATTTCAACGAGTGCTATACGCTGTTAAATTTTCCGTATTAAAAAACGGACCACCCTGTATATTAGATAATGCTCATATTTTTATATATTAAAACAAGGAGGAAATCCCAAATAATCAAGTAAAATAAATTTACCACCTCCTTGAATAACCTTTGTTGAAGGAGTGTGGACATATTTTTCACAG